GGTGTTGGGGGGGGGGGGGGGGGGTTGGAGCATAGTTTCCACATCTGTAAGCACCCCTGGATGCAGTTGCCCTTTAGCTTCACAGCGTGCAGCTTAGATTTGATCTGAGTCTCTGGGCTGGGTCTTTTGGCTTGGTCATCTTGCATATGGCAGTAGAATTGTGCTCTGTTCTTTAGGGGAACATCTCTTTTCCAAAAAAAAAGTGCATGTTGCTCTTGTTACCTGTGTGTATTTTTGCAAAGAGAAATTCCAGATTCAAGTTAGTAGTACAGTATTCCAGGAGGAAGGAGTAGTTCCAGGCTGATTCTCTCTGGCTGCTCCCTTACGGACTGTTAGAGAAACTGTGCATTAGGAGCCATGCTTAAACAGATGCTCTCATCCACAGAGATTTCAATTATAAATAGCATTCACACAAAAATGGAATTAAATCAACAAGCATACACCTAAAACTGTTTCAGTGAAAACAACAGTGGTCTTTCTCTTATTAACTTTTATTTCTGGAGCTAACATTTGCAAGATTGATGTGTGATTCACTAGCAGACGGTCCTTCTGGATCATGGTGTATGCATGACAGGTCACCAGGACCTTCAACATGTATGCCTAGGTAGCAGTATGGAGGAATGGAGGCTGCCTAGACCTTCCATTTCCCCCTCTAGACCATTGAGACAGAACCCAAAGGCCAGACCAATTCCACACGTTCCATTCCTCGATGGCTGTAGTTATATGCACGTCTGGGAATTGAACACTGGACTCCTGTGTGGCAGACAAGGATTCTACCACTGAATTACAACAGCAGTGTGTGATTTAGGGGGGGGGGGCAACTGTAGCAAGTGTGTGTTGTTATAGGAAGGCTAAAACAATTCTTGTTTTAGTATAAATAACTTATTTCATTTACTCTTTTAAGTACAGCACTGTAAAATAACATACAACAAAGCCTCCTACTACCTAAATTCATCATCTTTAAAACTGATTTCTCTCCCCGCCCCCCCATATTGTTGAAAATGCAATAGAGAAAATACTAGCCTGTATAATGAAGTTCTATTTTCCAGGCATGTTAGCAAATGTTTTTGCAATCTAAACACTTATAAGATTAGTTAAAGGAAGAAAATCTACATTCTAAAGATTGAGAGGCTTGAAGATTTCCCACTCTGCTGCCGTGCAGCCAAAAGGGGTACCATGGTACGCACAGGTGGAAAAGACTCCTGCTTGGTATTTCTCTTGCTTGCCGAAAGGGACACAGAGTTGGCACTTACTCTGTCAAAACAATCTGCAATATCAAGCAATTAATCGCATCAATTAGAAAAAATAAAACCCTCACTCTTAGTGCCTATTTTTACAGGTTTTGTTTTTCTAAATCACATTCCTTATGTGAGATCTGCCTTTAATCTTTTTCATTTATTTAGGTATCCTGTCAGGTTTGTAATGTCTACAATTCAAAAAAATGTGCATTTAAAAAGTGACCTTAAATACAGTGCTATTAATATTTTAAGAAAAATCTTAAGTTAAATCAGTGTAACATAGTTGAAGATCAGTTTTAGTTAAGGAGAATTTTTCATGAACTTAAAAATATATATCTATCAGTAGTTTTTCAGCAGCATAAGAAGTTTGGTTTAAAGCTGCAGTTCTGCTTTCGTATTTTCCTGCTCAGTGCTACAGTAGGTTCTGTTTTAAATGCAGAACTAATTCTAGGTGTGGCCCAGATCTAGCTAACTAATGGCACATCTTTATTTTTGTTTAGCTTGCTGCCAGTTTTGGAATTAAGTTCATGGAAACCAGCGCAAAAGCAAATATTAATATAGAAAATGTAAGTACTGTGGCTTTCTTTTTCTATAGGCAGCTATTCTGTTTAGATTTGCCCGAGAGAGCAGTATGAGCACCATTCTTTTAACTACACACAGTCCTATCCAGAAGTTACTGGTGATGGTTTTTTCACTGATGTAATCTACCTTGTGGAGGTAGTATTCAAAGAACATATCATGCTAAATGGCTTTACTTAAAATGTGTAGTGTTTGGATTGAAACGAATCATAAAGTGAGGAGGCAGAATTGGTACAAAATAAGCCAGATATGTGAGAGTGAGTGCATGTTTCTATTAATACTTGGGGAAAATTTCCTAGGGAAGAAAACTTGGAGGAAGCAGGTAAGTGGGATAGAAAACAAATCAGGGTTATGGCAGAGCAAAATGGTTCTGCTCCCTCCCCTTTGCCTCTCTGCAACACCTAGCTGGTGAAGTGTGCAATAAAATCCTGCTATAGCTCTACAGCATGAGATGGGGTGATAAGGGAAAGTGGTTTGGGGGATTGAGGCCATGGATGGGAAGACCTGACGATGGTAGAACATTCTAAAATAGTATGTTATTTTAAGTGCTAGTTAAAATGATGTGATTCTTACTGTTATGGCTGACTTTATCAGTAAGAACATTGTATCAAAGATGACAGTTTCTGTCCTGATAAATGGCTTGCTTGGCTGAGGCCACTCTCTGCTGCCCTAGTGAATTAAATCTGTCAGTTTACCATTTAAATATGGCAAGGATGTTTTAGGTGGTATTTTGCTGCAGTTTTTTGGGCCACTGAAAGTTTCACTTGGGAAGCGTCTTCAGATGGTGGCGTACATTAGTATCTTTCTACATAGCAGGTGTCCTGTATTTTACTGACACCAAGTCATCCTCAAGTGAACTGCAGTGCTTTGTGCATCAAAGCAGTGTTTTGTTGTCTATGTCTAGATCGACAAGAATCACCCCGCGCGCCTTTCCTAGTTAAAATCTGCTTTATGTGAAAAATATCTGAACATTTAATTCCGTTTTAAAGTGCCAGATTTTAACCTGTTGTTAAAGGCACTACGTGACCTCTTACAGAAGTATTACCCTGCTGTAAAAGCTGACTTCCAGCTGTAGTTCTATGAAAAAGCTTTTGTTAAACAAAATACTTAACGCTTAGGTGTCTAACAAAAACATTTCTGTATACTTTACTTGTAGGCTTTTTTCACTCTTGCAAGAGATATCAAAGCAAAAATGGACAAGAAATTGGTGAGTAACTAATAGTACATATAAGTCATTTAAAAGGAAGCACCAACTACAGTATCTGTTTTGACTAGAGCATCTATTTTTGGCAGGTTTTTTTTCAATTGCAACACAGTGGAGATAGTAGAAACTGTACCTTACCTTGCAACCAGTTCAGGATGAAAGCTGAACACATGATGATGGTTTTAAACCCCAGGAATGAGTAGTGCCTGGGTTTAGAGGTTCTCTAAAGTGACCTCTAACATTTGCTTGACTGAAAATGTGGTGAGACCCAGTCCAGTAATGATCCTCATTCTTACACTCAGAATCACTGAATCATAGATATTAGAAAGAAGGGAGGCCCAGCAGCTGGTGTTACATACCCAGTATCCTCCAAAACACCATCTATTCAACCTTAATCCTGGGACCAGCTATTATTATCGAATTAGTTCACACTGTGCATGGCTAAGATCTACCCTCGTATAGCAGACGAGACCTTATGGATTTTGTTCTTTTATTTATGAAACTAAAACACACCTGGTTACTTTCATTAAGCTGACTCCTCAGTGCGTAGTTTGGTAGCCACCATCATCTATCAGATATAATTGGAACAGTTGATTTTTAACAAGACATGCAGGAGTCTCACCTCAGTAGTTTTTGAGATCCTTTAGGACACTGGTTCTCAACTTTTTAGAGTCATTGCACCTCTCTTTTGAACATGGCACTATCCCATGTTAAGAACCACTGTTGGTGCTACTTCAGCTTAACTTAGCATTTTACAACCTGGTTCTGCTGCCCCTGAAAAATATTGCCCTGGGCTTGCTGCACAGACAACCTCAGAAGGACTTTGGCAACGTGTGTGCTCCTGCCATGGCCAGGTCAAACTGCCCTGTACACACTCTTGCTGGATGAAGACTGTGTTGAGCCTAAGGCTGAACAGGAGCTGTCTCATGCTGTGCAGCTTATGCTGGTCTGACCCCTCCTGTGCGTCTCCTGGAAATAAGCGTGCAGGTGAAACCGTCCTGTGTGCTTGTTTCCAGGTGGAGTTGGGGGGGCTGGATTGGAAAGGGCTACAGCCAAGCCAGCTCCTGCCTGCTTTAGGCTGATCACAGCCCTCATGAAGCAGGTGTGTGCAAAGAGCAGTTTTTTTTTAACTGGCCACTGCCACTATCGCAGCAGCACCTACATCACAGCACCTCTGACGAGGGCTGGTGGCATGCCCACTGAGAACCACTGTTTTAGGAGTAAAGAGAATATGCACAGTCCATGTTTGTTTGAGCCAAATTTAGCAGAAAGTATTTTTATTGTGTAATACATTGGCCGACCCAAGGTCTGTTGAAGTCATTGGAAAAATTACCGTGAATTCAGTAGACTTTTGAATCAAACCCCTAGTTCTGAAAAGCTGAGATGGAAGGTAATCATTAATCACACTAGATGCTGTTAAGTATAAATAAATAACCTTTTTAAATTCTTTGCATCTTTAGGAAGGCAATAGCCCACAAGGCAGCAACCAGGGAGTCAAAATCACTCCAGACCAACAAAAGAAAAGCAGCTTTTTCCGATGTGTTCTTCTGTGAGGGACACTGCCTTAATTTGAGCATCTGCTCAATTGAACTGGACTGTGCCTGTTCTGAGTGAGATTTCCTCTATCTGTGGATTTAACACCTTTCGACATACCCTGTCACACTGTGACCATCAAAATAAGACCGAAACAAATGTTTATTTTAGTAATTGTCTGATTCTTCAATTTTGGAGATGAAACAAGCTTATTTTTGTCACGTTGCCATTTGGCATCTACGCTGTTTAGTGGAGGGGGTACAGATCAGATGCGACCTGCGATAGCACCTTTACTGACAGGCTTCATTCTTTGGGATGGGGTTTATATCTGTAATGTCTAACATAGAAAATTAAGTTATGATCAAAATAACTCTAAATGGCTTTACACTGAAATGCCAATATTAATCAACTAATTATGTGTACATGATACATGTGCATATAAATGTCTGTAGATACATATAGAACAATCATTTTGAAACATCAAATAAACGCACTTCTGTAACATCATGGGCGTACACGTTTCAAAAGCTATGCAGGAGGTGTCTGCATATCCCTCATTTGGCTGCCACAGAACATCCTTTGTCTACCTATCTCTAGTTCAGTTCCCAAGTCTACAATTAAAATAAAATATCTCTTCAAAAAGTTTTTGAAACCAAAGCATGATGTAAATACTGTACATCCTCAACATGAGGCATTTGGAGAGAAGCTTTATTTTCCTGTGGTAGATATGACCACACATAATACATTTGATTATTTAGGTATCTTTAACTGGAGAGAATATTTTACATCTGTGCAATCTACCTGTTGGAAATACAGGCCATGGTTCAGATCTGTAGACCACTACATCAAAAATCACATCATCATGATGGACAACATAAGGTGTGTGTTTTGTGCATGGTTCTTTTTTCCTTGTTTAATTTCATAGTTGAGAATGACCTCAAATTTCATAGAATTGTTATTTCCAGTTTCTAAAAAATAGAAGGTATCAAACTGCATTCCAATCATGCATGTACATGTGCACATTTGCTCACATATGCAAAAGCACACTGCCTACACATACTTCCTGAAAATTCATGTTTATAAATGACATTTTCTTCCTGCCCTGCAGTGGTTACGTTACAATTTAAAGCAGCAGTGAACTTCTTGAATTATGTGTAGCAGTGTAAATACTGGGATATAAGAAGCAGGTGTTGACTCTTAAAACTATACTTCTCTATAATACATATTTTATTCTTGCAACACAGCGCATAACATTTCAGTGACTAGAATTTAGCAGCTAACTAATACAAGTTATTATGCAGCTAGTTGCTTTCAGGTTATTGGATATAAAAATCAATTTTCCCTAATTGGATTGGGGGAAAAGACAAGTCTAACCTACTTGGAAGCCTGCTGTCATCGTCAACCACTCGGCATAATAGTAAAATAGTATATTTGGAAAGAATGAACATATTGGCAATGTTCTGAATCTCCCTGGAACTGTTAATGTGCTTTGTTTACCTTGACAACTGCACTTAAAGGGAAATGATTAAAGTTAATGTTAAAATTAGTTAACTCCTTTATACTGTGTCCTTCAAATTTGTGTGAATATGCCCCAGCCTCATTTCTTGTAATAGTACTTGCAAGTCCTAGGTCTGTCAAGAAGCTTCTGTATAAAAAGTAACTCTGTAGGTATATGTACCTAACAAGAGCTCTGTCGGGCTCAGATTGAATACATGAGGAAGAAACTTCATTCTACCATGTAACTGAAAGTAAGTTTATAGCTAATGGCATATAAAAGGATTTTCTTTCTTAGGGCTAGTGGATTGAATGTTTTAAATGAGCTATCTTGTTCATTAACAAATGTTTATGTACCAAACTGTTCTGCAGAAAAATCTCTCAGATTTTTTTTTTTTAATGAGGTTTTTTGGTGAATGCGTGCAGCCATCTTCTGCAATGGGTCAAGATGGTTTTAAAAGTAAAACAATTCAATCATGCCAACATATTTAGGGACCCTTTCAGTCTGTGCATTTAATGTTATAGCTAATGCAAACTACAGCATAGGCAATAAAGATTTTTTTTACTCTGTATATTTTGTACACTTGAGAGAGAAGGAGTTCAGTGAGATACAGGAATAGTTTTGATAAATATATTAAAGTGTTTAGAGGCAATGGTTTGTGTGGATGATATCTTTTATTGGACCAACTGTATGGTTGGGATAGACATAAGACAGGCTTTCAGATATCACAGTACCCTTGCTCAGGTCTCTGGGAGAGAAGCGAACAGCAGAGCTAAGTAGCAGATGGAACAGAAGCTTGTGTAAAACTCCATGTGTAGACAGAAACAGGATGTAAGATAAAGTATCAGGTAGCCAACAGAAAAAAGAGCAGCAGTGAAAACTTGACAATGGAGGAACAAAGTCATTCAGGAGGATCATTATCACCAGTGAAGTGCAGAGATTTAGCAAGTATCAGCTAGATCAGTGGTGGGGGGCAACTTTTTTGGCAGACATGCCACAGATTACCCAGGCACCCTCTCCAAGTACCACTCCAATCCCCTTCCTCTTCCCTGATCTAGTACACTTTCTGCTTCCTGCCCTATCTGTTACTGTGCTGTCTGCCCCCTCCCAGTCTTCTGTGTGCCACACACAGTGGTCGCCTATGCCACTTGTGGTACACATGCTCCAGGCTGGCCACCCTTGAGGTAGATTATAATGGACCATGAAATCATTTTCTGTGCTAAGTCCCTGGTGCTGAACATGTTTAGGTTTTTGAATTGGCCGCAGATAATAAATGTTCACCCTCCAGTATCGGCACACCCTGTGGTATTGGATGTTGCAATCAATGTGTGTGTTTGTTTGGCAGGTAAGTGAAAAGTAGCTGGTAATCCAATATCCTGCACTACTAGATGGTCTTTTACTGACAGCATCCATCTTCAAATTCATTGTGATAAATCTGGGAGGGCAGGGAATATTTACTCGCAAATAGGAAGGTTTGAAGGATGGAATTCTGATCTTCACTATGCATGTTATTGATACTAAGAGAGCCCTCTTTAAATTAAAATTTTCTTGTGCCATGCCCTCCCCATGTGAATATCCTTTTTTTTACATTTATGTTGGTCGTTGCACATGTTTATATGTCTATTTAATAGGATTGTGATTTCCTTTTCATAATGAAACCACTTTCCTTAACAAACAATTATTGTTGCCTATTTGGTGGAAGTGTTATCCAGTTATTGCAAATTTTATGTTAACGTGAGTGCTATGAAAGCATAATGACCAAAATTTGAGTTCCGCTACATCAAGTTTTGTAACAATGAAAAATGTATTAGACTTCCTAAGAGGAATAAAGTGCAAATGAGTATCTTGTAACTGTAAGAATGGTTTAGTAACAAGGTTGGTCTTACTTCAGAACCGAGTGGACTGCTTCACTTTATTATTTTATACATTCCCTTGTTCTGAGCACCCTGTTTTAGCTTCTTGGAGAAACCTGTCATAATGTCTGTTAATTTTGCCAGTTCCACCAATAGCATTAAAACTACAAATCTTGCAATTTAACTGACTTCTATATTAAATTATAGCTGTTTCGTTAAATACTGTTTGATTCAGTCCATGACTTCAGGTGCTTGTTTACTGCACCATCATATTAAAATCTAATTAACAGGATATGAAATAACTTCATAAACTGAAATTAATATTTGAAATCAAAACTTTAGTTATGCACCTGATATTTATAGACTAATTACCAACTTGGTGCTAAATTTCATAAAACTGTCCCCCAGTAGTGTTGTGGAAGATGTCATTCCAGTCAGTCTCCACTTTGTTACTGGTCTTTCCTTTTTGCACTCCCTTCTGTTTTGTAATATAACCCTGTGTCCACCTCAGTCTGTGTACCTGACATGTCAAAGTAAAAACTGATACCTACCAACTCAACAACAGTTGGTATTTCTTAATCATAAAATGACTTTGTTTCAAATTTGTAAATAATAGGACTACAGACTTCCATGCATCTGCTACTGTACAAAGTACTGGTTCAAAAAATTATTCTGTAACTAAATGTATTAAGATGGCATCGATATGTAAAATCTAGTTGCTTATAATTGCAGGAAGTGAACCACGGTGAGTATATACAAGTATCTGTGGTAAACTGGGTTTTGTGTTTTGTTTATATTATGCCCAAGAAAATTTCTCACCCAAACCCCTCTCCTATTACTTAAAGGTATGAATTCAATATGGCCAAGAGAAACTCTCTTTTTAGGTGTCCATTTCAGAGCACAGGGTTCTGGCACCCAAACCTTGAGCCATCATCATCATTTCCCCCACCCCCGTGTACCTTTCCTCCTGCATAATTCTCACCTGCAGGCCAGCATGCTTATTGCCAACAGTAGCAGCTCTGCTGCATAGATCACTGAATTACTGAAACTTGTTTTGCTCCTTCAGAGTGTTTAAACAATCACATTCTTCTTTCTTTGTCTGACATCCCATTAATTATCCCACTGGTTGCCTATAAAATAGATTAGAGAAATTGGTGCTTTACATTTCCACTGTATTTGACAACACAATTTTAATTTACTTGCAGTATATGGTAGTGTTAGAGTGATGTTGTAGCTATGATGGGCCAGGGATTATGCAAGAGGCAAGGATTTCTTAGGGTGAATTCTTTTATTGGACCAACGGCATAGTTGGGATAGAGGCCGACAAACTTCTGAATGCAAGACATGCTTTGTCATTCTTCATCAGGTCCTGATGAAGGTGTCTTGCATTCAAAAGCTGGTAGTAGGTCTAATAAAGGATGCCACTTAAAAAAAAAATCTTATCTATTGCAATACCTGGCAACAATACAGTGCAATTAACATATTATTGTCAATGAGTTGAAAAAGTGTTATGAGATAATCGACTACAAATGATACCAGATCCTGACAACCAAAAATAATGATGTGCATATTGGTAAAATGCAAGATCATGTTTTGCAACCCACAATAAATATGCCCGCTCTTTCATCGTGTTACAGCTGCTGCTAGTCAGTAATGACCAGTTGCTCCTGAAGGAAATCACAGTTATGTTACACTTGTTTCATAGTGCTTAGGGTTGGAAGGGACCTAAACAGATCATCAGGTCTGACCTCCTGCCCCGGGCAGGAACGGGTGCCAGGGTCATATTGCCCCAGCCAAATATCTGTCCAGCCTCCTCTTGAAGACAAAAGAGGAGGAGCTTATTTGTCAGCATTAGTCTTAGCATGCTTATCTGTGGATACTGATAACATACCTTTCTTATTTGTATTCAACACGTATCCTTTTTTGAGCCTGATAACACAAAACCACTGTCCCGCACCCTGCCTTGCTCTCCACACCGCAGTTGGAAGGCTCTGATTTCCCAAAAGGCAGCACAGTCTCTTGCTCCAGCTGGAATAACTGTAAGTCTCAATTATTATGTTCTTCGTTACCTATTAAGGAATACTGTAGTCAAGTCCTTAAATAGATAAGCCAAATTCTTAAATGATCGGAGGGAAAGGAAACAGTTTCCATAGCTAGCTGGAAGTTGTTCAGTGACAGTAGCCTTTTACTGTGGCAGCAGCAGCCCTGCATTCAGAAACAGAAGTGAAAAACTAAGTAAGGAATTTTGGATGTCCTGCAATTGGTCTGAGAGGTTGCATATTATATATGGCATTGTAAAGATCTTGGTCAAATCCAGATTCCTGGTGCAGCATACATACTAATGAAGAGACGCAAAGAACAAAATCTGTAATATGAAGGGACCGTTTCCCTGGCCACCTGCTGCTTTGTTGTGCATCCATACCAGGTGCCCTAACTCTCAGCACTAGTAAGGAGTTGTCGCAACACCTGGATATGGAATAGACCATGCTATTTAACAAACTCCATCTATTAAATACTGAATTTCCTTATCATGAATCCTCATTACTGTACATGAGAGCCTTTCAAAATGCTTTTCCACTTGAGCTGAAGAGAGCCTTTAATTTGCATAATATAGTTGATAGGGTAGATTGACTTTAGCAAGGCTATTGATACGGTCTTCCACAACGGTTTCACAAGCAAGCTATAAGGAAGTATGGGTTAGAGAACTAGATTGTAAAAAGGAGAGAAAACTGGTTGGACCGTTGGGCTGAAAGAGCAGTAATCAATGGCTTAATGTCTAGTAGACAGCCAGTATCAAGTGGAGTGCCCCAGGGGTCAGCTCTGGGTCTGGTTTTGTTCAGTATCTTCATCAACAACCTGGAAGATGGGATGGAGTGCACCCTCAGCTTGCAGATGTCACCAAGCTGTGGGGAATAATAGATATATGCTGGAGGGGAGGGCTAGGATTCAGAAAAAACTTTGACAAATTGGAGGACAGGACCTAAAGAAATCTCATGAGGTTCAATAAGGAAAACTGCCAAGTCCTGCACTTAGAACGGAACAGTCCCATACATTGGTACAGGCTGAGGTATTCCCTGGCTAGGCAGCAGCTCCCCAGAACATGACCTGGGGGTTATAGTGGACAGGAAGCTGAATATGAGCCAGCAGTGTGCCCTTGTTCCCAAGGAAGCCAACGGCATCCTGGGCTGCATTAGTAAGAGCATTGCCAGCAGACTGAGGGAAGCAATTATTCCCCTCTATTCAGCACTGGTGAGACCATATCTGAAGTCCTGTGTTGTTTTTGGCCCCCCACTACAGAAAGGTTGTGGACAAACTGGAGAATCCAGCAGAAGGCAATGAAAATAGAAGTCTGGGGACATGACTTGTGAGGAGAGGCTGAGGGAACTGTGTTATTTAGTCTGGAGAAGAGGAGACCGAGGGGGGTGGGATTTAATAGCAGCCTTCAACTACCTGAAAGGTGGTTCCAAAGAGGATGGACCTGGGCTGTTCTCAGTGGTGGCAGATGACAGAACAAGGAGCAATGGTCTCAAGTTGCAGCAAGGGAAGCTGACGTTAGATATTAGAAAAAGCTTTGTCATTAGAAGGGTAGTAAAGCACTGGAACAAGTTACCCAGAAAGGTTGTGGCATCTCCATCCTTTGAAGGTCTTTAAGACCCAGCTAGACAAAGGCTTGGCTGGGATGATATACTTTGGGCTGGTCCTGCTTTGAGCAGGGGGTTGGACTAGAATCTAGATGACCTCCTGAGGTCCCTTCCAAGCCTAATTTACTAAGATTATTAGGGCCTATTATTGTAGGCCTTAAGTAGTTCAGGGATAGGATTGTATAGGATGGAAACAGACATTTTCTGACAACTCATTTGTGCTGCCATCTTTTTTTTTTATGGCTGCAAAATGGAAGCAAACACATGTTGCTATCTTTTGTTGCTCCACAGGAATGGAAAATTAGTGGTGCGATAAAAGGTAGTAATAGACGCTTCCACCTTATTGCAGAGAACATCTATTAGCTCTGTGTCAGGAGAGCAGAGCAGCCTGAGATGCTCTCATTCTCCAGCCATCCTTGGCAGGTGCTCAGGGGGCCTGAAGGCCCCCCAAGTCCCTGGAACACCTGCCTTCCTTGCTTGTTTGCAGAGCAGCACCCCAGGGAATCCCAGCATGATTCTCCATAGTGGGAAAGCAGAAAGATCGCATTGCTCCTCATCCTGCAATGTCAAAAGTGAAACAAGGGATGACATGTTTTGTCCAGTGAAGCGAATCAACTGTGCTTTGTCACACTGACCCACTTCACTTGGCAACATCATTTTCTAGTCATAGAGTTACTTGTATTTGCTTGATTGTAGTTTGGCTAAGAAATGAATGGGCAAAGGAAATGCTCAGGCAGGAGAATTTCATAAGGTGTGAACCACTTTAGAAAACTCAAGAAAGATCGATTGAAAAAATCAGAGTATAGGTTGCCTCGTACATTTAGTGGTTTGGTGATAGTTGAGGCTAATTTTAGAGGAGGTAAATCTTATATAGGGAATAAGAATAGGTAGATTAATATTAATTACAGTACCACCTATTGGGAATACTTTTTTATCTTTTTGCCCTATTTAGTAAGCTTTTTTTTTTTTTTGATACTTTAGCCAAGTCATAGTATTTAAAAACCAGGTCCACTTTGGGATTTTTGCTCTTTAGTCTTGAACCACAGTTCTTGTTGAATTGCCCACTTGCAAGGATACCTGGTTAGAGCTATTTAGCAATGTGCTTTTTGGAACCTAAGTATGCAGGTCCTTTCTGTAATAGACTGGCCAACCAGGCAGAGGCTTTTCTAAGATGTTATGACTTGGCAATTTTACGATGAAAATGCTTTCAAATACTACAGTACATAGTATTTGTGCCCAAAAGCTTGGCAAAGAACCATTTTTCCAACTATTTGGTTGGTCTAATAAAAGATATCACACCTGCACAAAGAACCTTGTCTGCCTAAGTCCTTAGATCAACATGGCAACAACCCTAATCAGATTGTTATGCCTTTACATAAATGTACATACATAAACTTTAATTGTTTGCTTGAATATGCCTTGTCTGTACTGTTGTCATTTATATCTTTTCTGTTTTGTTGTTAATTTTTCAATTAAAAGTTTAGATATTGTTATGTTGTGAGTTAGCTTTTTTAACCTTTCTTGGTTCTCAGAATCCACCTGAGGGTCAACAGTGGTGAACAACTAATTGTCAAGATGTTAATAAGTGACTCATCAATATCTGGACCACAAAAAATAACTAGAGCCCAAAGTCAGTTGGTCTAGTATCTATTTGTTACAGCACCTAAATAAAGTACTTCAACTACCATTTTTAACCTCTCCCAAGATTTGCATTTTGTTGCTTTACCTGGTGATGCAGTAAAATATGTTTGGTTAAAATGTCCCCTGGTTACTGTACCCTGTAACTTGACTATCTTATTCGGTTTGACTAAATTTGTGTGTTGAGATGCAAGGCAGTGGCATAATGACTTTTGTCCAATTTTTATATGCAGAGAAATATACTTCCTGGAATTAACTGTTTTACCAAGGAAACTCATTGGTGCAAGCCCCAAGCCAACACTAACCTGAAAGGTAAAACACTCCTGAGAAGAGGTAGGATATGAAAACAGTAACATTTGCAACACTTTGAGGTAACATATTGTGATATTTTATATTCAATGTGTGTGCACATTTTCCCAGCAAACTTGGATAAAGCAATTTAATGAGTCCTTCCCCATTACTTGTTTGACACTTGACAGATGAGGACCAGCCAAATGGTTTGTTATAGAAATTATCTGTACGTAAATGTGCTGGCTCTTACATGACTTGCTTCTGCAAAGTATTACTTAAGAGAACACTGCTTGTTCTGTACAGTGACATGGCTGGGTGATGTGTTTTTTATTTGAAAGGGGTTGCAGCTAATGAGATGTGTTAGTGTAGCCCTAGATTCTGGAATGTGCTGCTCCTGTAGCATCTTGTTACCACATTCTGTTTACCTTCACCTAGAAGGTCTTCTGCTTTTTAAGATTTCTGACAAGACAAGATTTAAAATATTTAATCACGTCTGGCAGACCTGATTTACTATTGATTTGGTTTTTTTAATGAATAATTAGGAATAAAGACCAACCTTGGTGTAAGATTAACTAGAACAAAGTAATTTGTAATATTTATTTTTGAGTGACTGCACTTAGAAATATGAATAACATAAAATTTAAATGATATATGTGAAATGTTCTCCTCTTCAGTGGCCTTTGAATCGAGCTCAAGGACTGATCTGTACAATTTTATGAACAATTCAGCTTAATTATGCCAATCTGGATTTTGTAAAAAAATCCAAACTTGTTTACATAACACTTGTATAAAAAAAGTGACAAACAATACATTGCAAACCACTTTAAAAAACTTAAATACATAAATTGCAAGCGTATTCTTTTAACTATGAGGCATCCAGGTTGTAACCATATTGGTCTAGAGGAAAAGGCAATCAGGACTCGTAGTAGAGAGATCTCTTATTAGACCAACAAGATTTTTGCAAATAAATAAATAAAATGTATTTAATTGCTTTATATATAAAAGCAATTAAAGAAATTGTATTTATTTGCAAAAATCTTGTTGGTCTAATAAGAGAGATCATCTCTACTACGAGTCCTGATTGCCTTCGAAATATGCACTTTAAAAAACCAAATATTTATTCTAAGATGATTTGTCTTAAGGTATTTTTTAAGAGTTAAACATATTTTCTTGCATACACTGCGCACCTTTTTTCTAAAAACTGTCTGCTTGAAGTTGGTGTGTGCATTTTGTGTGAGGAAATGCAGTAAGAAGTGTCTGCTGCATACCAAAGGAAAGGAAAAGTGAAGTCGGCAGAGATCCACAGGGAGCAGAAAAATGAACAGGCTCAGCTCCCTTGCTGCTGCTACTCAGTTACTATGAGGAAAAAATTGTTTTCTTCATTCTGCCTTTCAAAAGTATGGTGCGTATCTTGTTCCGCGGTGTGTTGTAAGTGAGAAAAATATGGCATATAAAAATTTGTGTTGGATGTACCTTTTATAAATGTCTTCAGTTTTCTTCTTGTTTGAGAGTCAGAAATGTTTAAGGAAGGTTGGAGGGTTGTTATAGCCATGATGGTCCAAGTGAATATGTGAAAAGAGAGGTGTTTTTGGTGGTGTGTTGTTTGGTTGGTTGGTTGGGTTTAATTTTTTTTTTTTTTTTTTTTTTAAATATATACCCCTTTTACTGGGCGAACTGGGTAGTTGGGAGATGCAAGGACTCCATTTACAGTGAGACCAATCACTATCATGAGCGACTGGTGCTGCCTGAGTCAGGAGGGGTGTGTGCCCCCCTTGCGACCAGTCCTGCTGACCGGGTGAGGTCCCCCATGGGCAGTCCTCCTGGAAGCGGCCACAGCAATCATAGTGATTGGCTGGTGCTTGCAGGGGGGGCACCAGCGCTCCCGCCTGCCCCCCCTAACCATCACCTAAGAGGCGAGCATGGCCAGTCAGGGGGCACTCAGGAGGTGCATGTGCACCCCCTACACATTGCCACTGATCACTGTGCTTGGGATCAGGAAGGAATTTTACCCCATGGTTAGATTGGTATGGACTGTGGAGGTTTTTGTCTAGTTTGAGTATTAGCCCCTAAAACTGTCTGAATTAAATAATTGTTATATGTGATTATAAGCTTAATTTGCAAAATAAATATCATCTTCATGATGGACTGTAGGATTAGCACGTTCTTTAGTGTGCCACCCTAGTCAACAGAACAGCATGTCGGATCAGGACTATGGGAAATTCTTAGCCTATACTGTAGCATTTTTTGGTATTTTAGTAATAAATAGCAGTTGGCACCTGGTACTGAAATATGCAGTTTAGCATGTGTCACAAAGAAAGAACTAAACTCCTTAAAAATTGTTATGTATATCATTCGTTTACATGCTCTTTCTGATTCAAGGTCCAGGTACGACATGTTATTACTTGTAAATGTAAATGCATGGGTTTTATGCCCCTCAGTTCAATTTGTTCTTTCTTTAGAACGATAAAATATAGAAATCTGTTACTTGACAAAAATGCCTTCATCTTTTAAAGTACACAGAAAATGACCAACAAAGTAACCTTGATAGTAAACATATAGAAAAGACTCTAAAGATACTCGAAAGCTATTGAATTTCAGGGGAAAAATGGGAGCTATGGATTTGATTGTCGGTTTTATGACAAAGAGAATGAACCAAACCTTCTGGTGATCATCTACCATGTAATAGAAAGAGACTTCAGATAAGGTCCCTTTTTTACAGTGCCTACTAATAATATGCCTGAGGATACCTGGCTAGTTATTCCTTATATACTGCAGAGAGTCTCACTGCAATGGAACAGAAAATGTTTCTAAGGAAGTTGGTAGTAATTCTGGATCCATGCATTACAACGTACAATTCAATGTTCCAGACTTGAAAGAAAATTCAGCAAAAGCTTGCAGGTAATACAGATAGTGATTCAGCATCCTCTGTTCCTTTTTCAAGGAAAAAGCTTTTATTCAATAAATCTAGATCTGAGGTTGTGTGTAACTGAGATAAATCACATTAAAACTGTGAATGAAATGCCACAGTGCCATTCTGCTTTTTTGCCCCAGTGTGGTAGGAGTTTCTTAGTTCACTCAACTTTTAGTCCTCTGACATCAGACTCAGAGGCTTTAAAGCTGCTTTCAGGTTGTGTGTTCAATTTCCATTAATTTTAATGGAATTTTGGCAGCTTTGAAAGTCATTCTACAATAGGTGGGGTGTTGAGTGCTTTGGGTTTTTGTTTAAGCCAATTAACTTGCAATCCAAGCTCATTAAACACCAGTTTATATGTTTTCAGTGCCTATAGCAAGATCTGTCTCGCAAGGTAAAACTGCATAAAGGACAGAAGGAAATGTTCTAGGTTTTCTTTTTTATGTAACTTCTACTTAGTGCCTAGCCCTTTAAAAATAAATAAAAAATACCCCCAAACAGTTTTTTCTGTTGGGAGCCCAGGACTAGAAGAGACCTCCCAAGACAGATGCAGACCTGTTTTCAGATACCTAGCTGAACAGTACTTAACTTTTTCAGACTCAAGGTCCACCTCAGAAAATGCCAGCTCTTCACTTTCACTCATTTTTTGATTACAGAAAAATAAACGAGCAATTCTTCTGTTTCAAGGAACTCGGGTCACAGAGTGTTTTTACCGCAGTGAATTCCTACTTGAAATCTTTGGTTTTATCTTGTGAATCATGCTTGCACACCTAACAATGCTAACATTGCATGGCACACGGCAGCACCCTTGAAAGGATCTCAAGGTACCCTAGGGTGCCACAGCATCTGCATTGAGAATCACTGATCTGGCTCAATCTAAAAAAACACTTCACGGCAATAATAAACACCTGTTATTCAAATTGGAAGGGTTTCTTAGGACCCAGCTGTAGTAGTGACTAAGAATCTCCTTCCAATTTCAAGTCAAAGTTTATTAATGGTCAGTTTATACATATTTGTTCTAGTGCCAGCAGTCTTTTACCTTAACCAAATCTTTTTATTTGCTAAGTTAAACAAATATGGATGTATTCCCCATTTCTTTGTTGATCAGATTTGCTGAAGCTGAAAATCAAAACAAAATTTGTACTGAACATGTTAACTGGCAAGAAAAACTTTGTACTAAGTTACCTAGGGAAATCTTAATTAATCTTATCCCTGAAGATTTAAACAGGAAATATAACTTGTTCTTCTCCCCAGCTCTTACTCCAGTTTCTGAAACTCGTGTTTGGTCCTGAAAACAGAACGGAATGATGTACGTGGCGGAATTCGGATGAAGTTCCCACTCTGTGTTTCACCAGATTCAGATTCGAATGTGAAATGTACTATTAAAAAAACAAAAACAAAAAATGCTACGTATGTCTCATTCACCACGTAGCACAAACCCAGTAATTTTTACCTTGTCACATTTGATTTTTCTTGCCTGCTTTGGGATTAAGAATCCTAAATCACTTAAATCTAAAGAGCAGCCTTTTGTTAAAAATACGTTTGTAAAGTAAATAGTCTTTTCAGTATAATGTTGCCAACTCTTAACAGTTTTATATAGAATCCAACAATATTTGAGGCATTCAGGCCTAACTGCTTGAGCCATCAGAAGGAGAAATGTGGGGGTTTTTTTCCTCTTCAGACAATTTCCTGGCACTCATGATCTTAGAGAAATTATGAAAAATGACTTGAAGTTCAAAAGCAACAGCAAAAAAACAGACACCCCTAAACTTTAAAATCTGGGGGTGGGGGGGGTTTGGTTGGTGGTTTGTTTTTTAGTGAATGCTTGCAGTGCAATAATATGACTGATGGACTGGAAACATTGAAATCTTCAAGCGTGGAAGAGCTAATAAGCATACCTTTTAAAACACTTGTACTAGAGAATGAGGAGTGAAGTCTCAATGTATAACAAAAGGGCCACTGTTACCTGAGAAAGTCTGGAGCTCTTACTATCATGTGCTGAAAATCTTCTAGGGAAAGTTTGCCATCATTGTCCAGATCAGCTTCCTCAATCACTTTTTCACATACAAGGCTAACCTCTTCTGGAGTAAGTTCATGTCGAGTCAGTTTGTTAACAGTTTTTTCCAAGTCTGACTTGCATATATAATCATCATTGTTAAAATCTGTCAAAGGAAAGAGAAATGATGCATTCAAAATGCTGAAAACTGACTTCTCCAAGTCTGACTCCCAAGATCGCAGTGGGAAGGAATGTGTCTGACCTGATTTACAAACCCCAATATAACTGTATAAAGGAATTCCTAATTTAGAATTGAAGAATTGCCCAACGTTCACTGGATTGCAATTATGAAATTATTTCCAAAACACCCATCTACAAGTTTTGTGCACCCTGGTGTTGTTTGGTCATACACAATGTTAGAGTTCCCAAATAATCTCATCCCTAATGAAATCTGTCCATAATCAAATTATCAGCAAGCTAGTACCATGAACTAAAAGAACAGGGTAGGCTGTCTTGCTTTTTTTTCCATGTTGAACAATGTCCCCTTTGGCTTCAGAAGCAGAACTCTCTTTTATTAGGGCATTATATAATTGATTTTGCTGAGACCGGAAGAAAAAAATAATTGAAAACATATAGTAAATAATTGTAATTTTTAAAAACATCCTTTGTGAAAACATGCTACAAGCCTGGGTTATTCAAAGAACCCTGTAGAAGATGGGACATTAATTCCCTTAATGAATAGTCAGACAGATACATTTTAGGGAGAACTTGCTATGTGTAAACAGCCTGGTTGACAAGTTTTGTGTGTCCAGACCTAGTCTGCAGTAAATGGAACCACAGATGCCACTGAACAGCTGACACCAGATTAAATCCCCTTTACTTTAGAATTATTCGGTCATGTGCTTTAATCAATACTTTTCAAAGCATCTCCCATGGTCTGTACAGTTTGTTTTTAAATGTTATTTCCTTCAATTAACAAAATATGGAATAGTTGCTTTGGATGCAGTACCACAAATTTTCCAGCAGATGTCAGAAACTGAGGATCAGAGATCACCTTCAGTCTCAATAGGCATCAACACAAGACACTAAAAGTGCAGTAGATTAATTCTACTGCGCATTGCTGCATCACGGTGAAAGCCAGAGCTGCCAGAGTTTAAGCAAAATATCTTTCAGTTATGAACACAATGAAAACCTTACAAGTGGCATAGAAGTTTCTAGGATAGCTAGGAAGCATTTAAATGCAATGAGAAGGGGAGCCCTATTAAATATGTACCTATACAGTTCATAGCCATGTGTGTATCTAATGTAGTGGTTCTCAACCTAAGTAGATATGAGGGATTAGACTCAAGGCACCCCCTCATTAGACAATAAAGACACCTCTGAAAATGCTACCTTTTAATTTTCACTTGTTTTCTTACTATGCAAAAAAAAAAAAAAAAGATTAGTTTTTTTCTGTTGCAAAAAAATCAGAAAGACTACAGCATGTTAGAATGCTTTTAATGCTATGGCTTTTTATTTTAAATGTCTGGGTTTATCTTGTGAATCAGGTTTGCACAGCTAACAGTTCTAACAATGCAAGGCACCATGGGGCACCCTAATAAGGTTCTCAAGACACCCCAGGGTGCCTTGACAGCCTAGTAGAAAATCACTGATCTAATTTAAGAGTGTTCCTGCAGTCAGTCTCTGGTCACGTGCAACTCTGTATTTCCTCCAAGCTTTACCATCCATGCTAGTTTCACTCACCATAAATTTTAAAGGCATAATAAGCTTTGAGATCTCTGGGAGCCATTTCACTCAACACTGAAAACATGTCTAAAAAATCATCTAAAGTCATATTGCCTTCTCCATCCTCTGAGAAAACCTCTGCTATCCGCTGGCGAAATGGATTATCCTGTTGAAAAGGGAAGACAAAATAAAATGAAAGGCGGTCTTTACTAATATTTGTTTCACTTTAGTGCCTTGGCTTTATAGGGCACAACTTAGGCAGGAGTTCTATCCATATGAGCCTCTTAGTGGTGGACAAGACAACCCCTCCTTCCCCTTGCCCCTGTTTCTAGTTTTTTTTGTTTTGGTTTTTTTTTGTCTAATGTTGCATCAAAAAACAGGTCCAGCTACAAACTTCTCTGTACCTTTTTTGGACTTCAGTAAGCTTTCAAAGGAAACCACTGGCAGCTTCTAAAGGGACTTTGGATTTAGACAGCTATTCTCTAGATAGCCAGAATTCAATTATCTTTCAGGTCTTCTGACAATTAGTAAGGGATGAATTATTCAGAAGGGATAGATGAAAGTGAAATGTGGCACCATGTCTACCTTCTGCATTCCTTACGCTGTACCTTCAGCTCTGGCATGCTGCTGATGAGTTCATAGGGAAGCATCACATCTGGTTTATCTGAGTAGTCAAGTGGGACTAGCTGTGGGGCCAGATCTCTGTACCTGTAAAACAGCCTGAAAATGGAATGTAAGGTTCATTTTGGTATTGGTTTGTTCTTGCAGCCCTGAAAAATACGTCCGTCTTCTCTGTTTTATGATTTATCGTTCAGATCTTGCATCAAAGTAGCGAACGTAAATATAACTGAGGAGAATCTGGGCTTCATGGAGGAAGAAGCAATTAGTATAAAAATACATGTACAAACTAGCTAGCAAAATTGTTGTTGTTTTTTGTGCAATTGCATTTTCTTGTAGCCTGGGTGATCAAGTACTTTTTATTCAAAGTGATAAATAGACCTGTTATTAGCTTCCTTGAAGTATTTTTCACCAGTAACTGCTTTCCATATTCCTTTGTTTCCCCCACCTGTCTTTATATACATACCTGAAGGCTGGCTTAGTTGGCAAGAACATGTCCCGTTAATACGCCAAAAAGCTGAGAATCCTTGTCTCATGCCTCCCTACAAAATCTGTGTAAAGGTATGTGTGATTCAAATATTGTTCATCAGCTCCAGCTGGCTGTAAATTTGGAATGAAGCAATTAGTGACCCTTTTCCACTGCCAAGCAACTGCATGTATAGAGGAAAGCGATGCCAAGACAGAAAAGATCCTATAAGTTCAATGCTCTGCAAAAAATTCACTCAGTGAGGCTGCATGCCATCTCCTACAGAAGTCATTAGGAGATAAATAGTACCCAATACCTCTGATTTAGGTGCCCAAATGTAGACAAGCACAGCTTTAATAATTCTGGTCATAACAACGACACACCAAGGAATCTTCAAAAGAAATTCATAAAAAATTTAATGTGTATCTTTTTGAGAAGTATAGATTGTCATTTCAAAAGCAAATCTACAAATAGGAGAGGGAGAACCACTGAGCCATTTAGCTCAGAGGGATGGGAGACTACTCCACTAATCAGTTAGTCTTCCCTTAGCTACCTGTTACCTTCCTTTTCTCTAGTTTAAGGTTTAGAATAAGGGGAGGAGGGTAAGGGAGCAAATGTTTTGCTCTTCAAGTCTGCAGCCTCATCCTGCATTTTTGGCCCAGCAAAATTTCCACTAAACTGACTGTAAGGAGATCCCATGAGAACCAGAACATCTATAATGTGTCTTCAAACATGTTTTAATTTTCTGCAGTACTGTTTACCTCTTGTAGATTAAGGATCCTTTTTTTTAGAGTTATCATTAGTGAATGTGGCTGAAAATCCTGTTCCATTGTTTCTAAGGGGCTCATTATCAATAATAAATGCCTTATTCATGACACAATTATGGCCTGGCCGTCTATTCAGCGCATGAAAATTCAGCCAAGCTTAAGTTTCAGTTATAATAGACACTTGCTCCAATTACACTTTCTGCTGCGCTACATTTGCAAGCAGGTTAGCAGAGTGCACATCAATGGAAGAGCACATAATTCTGCTAAAGGGCACATCCTCATGCAATTTTCTCCTCTACCCTGTTCTTCAAACGAGTCGATCCACTGATACTGGGCATGTCTACATGTTGTACAGTAACATGCAGCAGTAACCTCTGGCACATATTGCGCCAAAGTTTATTGCTCCTGGGTGCCACGTTTACATGTGCACCTGGGTCTGAGCTGGGTCAGAGCAGCCCTGGCTGGCAGAGGGTCCGGGATGGGGGGAAGACCCGCCTGCCAGCCCAGAGCTGCTCCAACCTGGCTCAATGTGTTGCAGAGGAGCTGGCTGGCACACGAGGGTGCTCCAGTGTGGGGCTAGACAGCAGGCAGCCCCCACACTGAAGCACCCTCATGTTTCAGCCAGCCCCATCAGCATCTGCGTGTGTGTTGCTGCAGAGTAAAAAACTCTGCCGTAGGATAGTACTTATATTTACAAGTACTAACCTGTGGCAGAGTTCACTGATTTACCTCCAGCCTAATAGCCATGCACCTGTGGACGCTGAGAAGTTTACTGCGGAGCTAATGAGACAACTCCACAGTAGATGTCTCGTATGTCAGCAGCTTCTCGCACAAAAACCGAGAGAGCCTCATGTTGTGTCAGTAAAAGCTTTTTAGGTTACTTTAATCGTAGCAAGCTGGCTGTGACTTTTTGTGAATATACTGGTTAATTCCCAATTCTCTTTCACATAACTTGGGCCTTGTGAATATTTCTCAAAAAATATTACTGTAAATATAAAAATAAGAAACAATGAGAAATGATACACTAGCAGCATGTTACCAAGACAAAATTGAAAGAAATCCCTTTAAAGTCTACTCTGTTCTAATATTGAAGACATTCTTTACAAGTATTATATGTCCTTTTCCAAGTCTCTCTGGCTCATTTTGTTTCTCTGTGAAAACAATCTCACATTGGTAAATGGATAACCTAGTATTTTTGGACCTCTAATGTTAATAATATCAATAATTTAAAAAAAAATGAAATTATATCATAACATTAAAATAGAATTTAGACTATAATATAAATATATGAGGAAAAGAAACTTTAAATACAAGTTAGTTTTGGTTCTTTATTACACTACTGAAAAGTTTGGCATATTTCATCAAATAAACAAAATGGACCACAGAATATCAATAATCTGTGTAGTAGTTGTTATAAAACAAGGTGGAAGGGCATGAAACCCTTTGAATGTGTATGTGGCAAAATCATTTTAGATAATTTGTTATATGAAAACTTCAGGTGGAGGAACTGGCCTTTTAACACTATAGTGAGTTACAGATTTTTGGCTCAGTTCATGCTACTTAACACAATTTTGTATCTATAAAAGTTTATGGGGCTTTTTGTCATGGTCATTCTTTTAAATCCCAATTTTAAAAAAAAATCTTGTAAAGATTCCTAAACTTATCAGATAAGAACCCCGTGTTCCGTTATTGCCTTCAAAGACAAAAAACAGGCTCACCTCAGAATTTCTTTCCTTGTAAAAAATGTGCAGTCCTGCAAAATATGGTGAGGTATAAGTTACAGTGGTATTCATTTTTTTTTTTTAAACATACACTGGCCCAAAGTTTTCCCTAGTGTAAACAATGCTGCCTTTCTAGTTAACTTCGCCAAAGACTTGCATACTTCGTCTTAATTTATAATACAGGCCTTTATTTTTCTCTTTGCAAGAAAAAAGAAGAGAGGAATTAAACAGCTATCAATAATATTTATTCTAAACACTTTTGCTAGAGTTTTTAATCCTGGTTAGCATCACAAAATTAAGACCCAATGAATGTTTTAGAGCAACCTCCCTTAACGCGTATTATAGCTATTTCATCTTTTTTTTTTCCTCCTTAGCCTGGTGGTTTTACCTGATAAGCATCTAGCTGCTCTGGAGTAAAAATGGTTTGCTTGTTGCCCATGTCTGCCTCCGAGTCCCGATTCTTGTCCCATGGTTCTATCCCCTTAAATTACCTTTATAGGAGTCCTGAATATTCAAATTTGAAAAACTGCAACAATGAGGTTCAGACAGGGGGGATCAAGTAACCACCTTCTCTGCTCCATGGATTTCAGAATCATAATAGGAGCATTTCATCGCATCTTTAGTCTGACTATAAGGCTCTCTTCCAGCATCATTCACCTGCCTTCTGTATGCTCTGGCAGAGTCATATTACACCATACAGCTAAACTCAAAACAGCTTCTTTGCCCTGTCTCTGAAATTGATAGGGGACTATGTGGATTTGTTGTTTGTGATTCTGCTGAAAAAAATGCAGACTGCTAAAAGCACTAGGAATATCTTTCTTCCTTCCTTTAATAGTCAGCGTCAGAAGGAACCC